TATACTTCTATTTGAAATAAAAGAAGGAAAAAACGCACAAAGAATTTTAAAAATATTAACAATAATTTATCATAAACTTAGTGTTAGAAACACGTAGGATGCGCACGCGGTGACACAGTCCTTTAAATCGATTTTGTTAAACAAGGACAAAGGATAAAGCCTAAAACTTACGTTCCGTTTATCAATTTGTTATTCTTCGCTGGTTTGTTTGTATAAATTTAGGAAAAAGGGACTTTTTCTGGGGGGGGGGCAAAATGTGATTTCGTGGGGGGGGGCACAAGGAGGGACTGGGGGGGTCAAATGCCCCCACCCCCCCAGCTTATATGTTAAAAAAGGCCCTGCAGGACAAATCCAGTTTTCAAGTGAGCCTCAGAACGTGCATTTTCATTTCCGATCAGCCTGCATCAGAGCAAAGTATCCAAGCTTTCTTGGCGACGTTCTCGTTCCTCCAGACTTTCCTTCCCTTTTCAAGGTGGAGCACGTCCAAAGGTTTGCAGGAGAGTTCGGCTGGGTCCTTTAGAGACGTACTTGCCAACTTAAATTGCTAGCCTAAAATCTGCGTATTTTGAAGTATTTTGTGTTTTGTTAGTTTTGCTTTGTAAGATATTTAAAATAGGATAATCACTTTAAGATATCATATGGAGCATAAGGACTGCCTTGGACTTGCATCTAGTCCTTAAGTTTGTTTTATTATATAGCAAGTATATTAGTAATGACATAAGCAATATTATTATTAATATTACATAAGCAATGTGGATTGACCTTTTTATGATACGCTGTACGGCTAATAAAGGAAAGCTTCGCTAAATTTCTTTACTAGTTTTAATTCATTGAGCGGTTTTCTAATTCCCAAGACACCAGAGTCCGTTTTATAGTTTCGTAATTCCCCGATTCCCGTTTATCCTGTCGAATTTCTGTTTCTTTTTTCTGTTCTTTTTCCCCCCGTACATATGATTAATATTACGTATTAACAATAATTCATAATTCCCCGATTCCCCTGTCCCCCCGTTCCTCGTTCCCGCATTCCCCGTTCCTCCATTGCCCGTTCTCCCATTCCCCGTTCCCCCATTCCACGTTTTTCGAAAGAGAAGACGATCTTTTTGCCTGTATTCAATCTACAAACACTAAAAACAAGTTTACTACTCGTATTTTACTCGTATTCTACTCGTATGTACTCGTATGTACTTGTGTTTTACTCGTATGTACTCGTGTGTTATTCGTATGTACTCGTATGTTACTCGTATGTACTCGTATGTTACTCGTATGTACTCGTGTGTTACTCGTATGTACTCGTATGTACTTGTGTGTTACTCGTATGTTACTCGTATGTACTCGTGTGGTGTTTTAGTCACGATCTGCTAAATGTCCTACTACTAGCAAATTAAATACACCCTTTCGATAATTAGTTATTTGTACATACAGAGCTGTCAATCTCATCTGACTTAGGCTAACTGTAACGGTTATTAGCGTTGGAAGATAGTGGATTAAACAAACTAGTTAAAACCATTGGCATTGTTGTTGTTGTTTGTGTTTGATGTGTCGCACAAATATCGATATCCGAAAAAGGGAAATACCGACTAGTATTTTATCGAACTAAAACAGTTGGTACTTGCCCATCACCAGCAGTCTCTAGCTTTTTATCGACTCTGGTGGGAAAAGGCGGGAAATTGATTTGGCAAACTGGTTCTCTCACCTCCAATTCGTGAAACATTCCTTAGGTTATCGGTAAACAATTCCTCAGATTCAGTTAAATTTCCAAAAACATTTCGCATTGTTGGTGAACGAATAGTCTAAATTTCCCAAGTTTAAGGAAAGTTCTTTAATTTAAAAGTGAGAACGCTGTCGGTAAATGTTCATCCATCAAAATCACCTGACGTCATTTTTGGCTCGAGTCGGGTCCCGGCTCTATAACAGACGTACTTGCAGGGAGGTGAGTCCGGGATTGGACGCACCGAGGGTGGCTGAAACTTCCAGCCACCTGAGGTGCGTCCAATTCCGGACTCACCGAACCTGCAAGTATGTTTGGTTTTTATCACATATGCCATGCCATTTCGGTAAAAAGTGCTAATATATAATTTATTGTTTGGAAAATGAACATTTTAGCCGTCAACATACTACGCAAACAAACAAACTTAGACTTAAATTGAAGCTAAAACAATTCTCCACGATATTCCCTTTTTCTTGAAAAGAGAAAATGCACATATTCTGCGAAAACATTGTCAAGATTTATGTAAACCTGCCCGTGCCGAACAAATTTCGGCGGCCATCTTTCTTCTCTTCCACTTTGAATACAGAATTGATATTCCATTTTCATCAAACAAAATAAAAAAATAATAATTATAAAACAATTAAAAACAGTTGAAACGCGCTGTGAAGCTTGCATTCAACGAGGCGATTCTTTGATCAAACCGCGCCAATCACAAAACAAAATTAGCAAACATTTCAAGCCGCGACAAGTGCTACTACAAATTGCCGAGCCAGTAGAAATGTTTTCAACTATAAAGCCTTTGTTTTAATCTCTTCAAACTATATTGAATTCATGTGATGGGCAACACACACCAACTTTTTCAGAGGATATAAAAAAAAAAAAAAATTCGTGTACAGAAAGTCTATAGTTATATTCAAACGAATTGTCCTTTATGACTTTAAATCTCCACCATTGTCTAAAAGCTAACACAATATACAAATTTCATGACATTTTCTACGTTCATAGCCATCACCAAGCCTTATCCTCGTTTGACTAGGGCTTCGTCAATTATAAACTGGGAATGAAATTGAAAAGTAAACCAAAATTTTCAAACTACATTAATCATTATAATTACTGTACACTTTCGTATAGACTAGCTGCACTCGTTAGATTAAATAGTAGGATGGTACTAAAACAATAAAATGTTCCTGATTTTGAGCTTTTGTATTTCCAGCTCCGCACAAACATCGTGGCTTTCATCCGGGAACAAGAATTTACATCCGGGCAACGAGATTTTACCCAATCAGAGAGTTTATTTGCCCCTTTTGGAAGCTTCAACTTGTCCCTCGATTTTTCCCGCAATGCCCAGGTACCGTAACTAGGTATGAGTCACATGACTCAACCGACAACTGATCGAGTCAGGTGACTCGGTAAGATTTTTTGTGAAAAAATTCAAAACAGGAAGACTTCAAGTTAGAAGTGAACAGATCCTGAATGAAATTTATCAATTTCTGATGGATAGAAGTACGAATTATGGTCCCAAATATTACCACGAACACGTTTTTTGCTGCCGAGCGATGCGAAGCGGTACACTAATGTCGACCCAGTCTCCCAGTCGGATGTATATATTGCATTCAGAATCGAGATTTTCTGTCGTGATGTTGGCGAATTTGTGACGTAAAATGACGTAGCAGTTACAAAATGGCATACACAGAGATTTTACGAAAATAATCCGAGTGCAGAATTTTTGGAGGGATCACTTTCCGTGGGAGGCTTGGTAACCGCGACTTTTATTCAGGGGACATATTTGGATTTGTTGGGACACTTGATGTAAACTTGGGGTTATTCAGGTACTCATATAGGCCATATAAAGTCTATTATACCATTAATTTAATTATCATTAACCTTTAGCGGGAAATATTTAAATTTTCCGGTAATAAATACCTACGTGTGTGGCAATAATAGCCTGAAGAAAACTGAATGCTGAAGTACGAATGTAAATCTATATTAGAAGTTACTACAACTGAATTTATGCATCGTCCTCACTTTACACAGTTTATAATGCAAAATCTATAAACGTGTCTTGTTTACATTTTGCATTGCACACAGGCAAATTTTGATCTCGTTGTATTTTGATAATCATAATTATCAGTGCGCCTATAAAATATTACGTTTTCAACCGAGACTATCTCACTATCTGTGACATACACTCACACAGTATTAGTAGTGCACGATATAATACAAACGGGGAATCTTTTAAAATAAATTCATAGTTAATTTTACCTAATTGAATAATTTGAATGTGGACATTTCTATCAGTTAAATGAACTTCAAATAATATGTCTCAATATCTCGATATTTATGGTATATTTTGATCTATAGTCCTTCATATATTTTGATCTATAGTCATGCACTTTGTGAAGAAAGCACCCAATTCACAGGAAGTGTATAGACTTTAACATGATCGATAATGAATCTTAGATATGGAGGCATCACTAGAGAGCATTGTATAAGAGATTAATAAGAGATTATAAGAAATCCTAAATTTTAAGCTGTCAGCATCAATTTTGGTGATGCCTCCATATCTAAGATTCATTATCATGTTAAAGTCTACACTTCCTGTGAATTTGGTGCTTCCTTCAGGACCTTCACAAAGTGCATGATTTTCTCAAATATCTGTGTATATCCGCTCGACTACTATTTTATAAAAAAATTTGCGTTTTTCGTACGCACGTACACGCCCGTAAAACTTTGAATCCTTCTATTTTTTAAATATTTTACAAATAAGTTAACAAATGCATACTAAAACTTGCGGAACACTAAATTCTGTTGCTTTATTTATTTGGTTATTTCATAAGTAACATTTAAATTAAACGGATTTAAAGTTTTACGTGTGGAAATCAGCCTTTATAAAGAACTTACATGACGTCTCGAGTGGAATGTTTTAGCTTTGGCACGAAAATTTTGGCGCGAGTCCTCGTGTGTTATGCAGCTTATGCTGTAAAATTCTTCTGAATTCCCAAATATTTCAACGATCGCAACTATATTTTGTGAGCATCCCATCTTGTTTTCATGGAACGTGGCGGAAAGAAAAGGAAGCTAGATTATCCAAATTCAAATAACAAACGCACGAAGTCTGAGGAAACGAAACCCAGCGGGTTTGAACAAGAATTAGCAAAATTTGGTTCTGCAGAAAGTCGCGCGTTAAAGTGTCGTAGACCTCCACTACCTTCCCTGGACGCCTCAAAAGATGCCTTGGTCTTTCAACAACTTGACTTAGACCATTATATTGGTAAGAAATAATAGTCATATTATGAAATATTGTATTGGTGGTGTTTCAATAAGCATATGATGGCATATAATACGAACAAAAATATCGATAGAACAAGCTTGAAGCTTTCGTCGATGCAACAACAAGAAAATATATAAGGAGAAATTCTCCTTATATATTTTCAGGCAGTTGCATCCCTACCATAACGAAAGCTTGTTCATTTGATTGGCACGACCTACACTGGCAAAAAGTGTTCAAGATAAATATTGATAGAAGTTCAATTCATGCCATCGACCTCCGAATATAGCCCCTCCCCCCCCCAATATAACCCCCCCCCCCATTTATAAGCCCACAACAGGTGGGAAATTTGTCTGAGCATGCGCGAGCAAAATAAGCCACGCAAATTGCGTGGAATACACGTAACGCGTGTTTACAAAAAGCCGCGGGAAATTTAAAACCAGAACAATATATTAATAAATGAAGTTTAAATTGCCAAACGTTTTACCGTTTATTTTGATAAGTTTTGGACTTTTTAATGAATTAAAAATAGTTTTAGCGGGAAAAGTCCTTTAAAAAAATGTGACGTGTGTGGAAAAAAGTCTTCACACTCGAAAAAAGATCGTTTTTACTGTGTAAACTTCGACCGAGAAATTGTTCGACAGTGTTTCGGTGTTGTCCCTAGTGGTGAAGAAAATACTTTTAGTTTATGTAGTTCCTGTTCCAGGGCTCTGAACAAGCACAAAGAAAATGGGAAATGTTTTCCTGAAGTAAGTTCTCGAACATGTTGAATATTGTTATTTCCTTTTACGAGCTTCTGGCAATATTTATGCCGTTAAAACTTCATTATTTTAACCCTTTTAATTACACAGCGTAAAGGTTCACAAATTAAGAGATCGGGGCGCCCAAAAAGACAGCTATGGGGTGCACTTTCTCGTTCAAATGAAGCTGCCGATAGCGTAGAAGATGCCTCATATTCTGCCGATGTACAGCAATGTCCTGAACAAAGCGTTCTGATTCCACTAACAACACTTAATGAAATCCGAGGCCACATCACACGACTAAGTAATAGTAAGTTATTAATTTTATTTATATTTATAATCTATACTACATTCTATATTTCAGGGGCTGGTTGCTGCCTCGTCCCCAGTCGCTTGCTATCAAATAATTAATTAGTAAAAGACGAAAATTAATGGGGGCGCGCGGGACGATGGGAAGGGGAGGAGTTAATAATTTGTTTCGTCTTCCCAGCATGCATCACAACAGATTTGTTCAGCCACTGATCTATATATTAAACTGATATGTCTATATATACACTGATCTACAAATAGTAAGGGCCTGCGGAGGAGGCAGGGCTGGTTGTACTAAGCCCGTTTAGCTTAAACGGCGAATAAGTCGAAAATATCGCCAATCAAGTCTACAGTTAACTTCAAAATTACTTTTAACTTAAATAGAACAATTATGTTTGCAACAATTTGCAACTACATAATAATTTAATAGTGCATGAGATTTAAGTCCTGTCGTTTAACAAAGTGTTTTAAAACGTTATTTAATTTTTGCTTATCCACTGTTTAAACTAAACGGCATTCGTACAACCGACCTCAGTACAGTCAATTTTCACTTGCAATTTCAATATATCTAAGAAGTGTTGTCCTATTATTCTGTGGGGTTCTTAATTGAATAACTTATGGTTCTTGGCCAGAGGGGGTGCTGGGGGAGGGGGGGGTGCTATTTTTCATGATAAAGCAAAAAATTATTAGAGACAAAATGAGATACAGTAATTTGAGTAATTACATGATGATAAGCGAACTGTGAACAACAATTACAATTCAAATACAGTAGTTAAGCAAGACTTTACAACTCGGCACCACAGCTGGCAGAGCACCCCCCAACCAGGTCATGCTCGATCCATCCATGTGAATAACACTATTTTCTGCTACAATTTTTGGGCATGGCAAGTCAAATGCCAAGAGCTACACTATACAGCAGGTAGCATACTCATGTATTTATATTTTTAAGGTGTGATATAAAGAGGGAACTTGAACGACTAAAAAATCCCTTACATCAAAAGCTCAATGTGGAACAATCACCAACTATATATGATCCAGATGAATTTCAACAATTCTGTGTTACCGTGGGAGCACCGACCCTGTTTAACGCACTTCTTTCGGTTGTTACTAGTGAACGACAATCAGAGAGGAGAATTACTGTAAACAAGAAAAGAATAGTATCAGTTATTTACACATTATGTTTCTGTTTGAGTCAACAATGCAATAATTTGCAGGTCGATTTAGTCGATCATGGGTTATATTCCTGTTCTCTTGTGTAAATTTTATTTCATTTGGATGTACTATTCGGGATTTATTGTAATTTTACCATTTTGACCGTTTGAACTTTAAATTCAAATTTTGTCTGGCGTCGCGTTCCATAGCAACAACTTTATGGCGTTGTAACTTGGTATTGGCCACAGACTTGGCTGTTTATAGTGAACGTTTTATTTTGGATTTGTGTTTGACTGTTAATAACGACATTTTCGTACATTTTCTATTTCATTGCCTCAAGATTTTGTGATTTTATTTAAAGTTTCATGGTTGCTATGTTACTGGAGCGTGATTATTCATAACTTGGTTTCAACTTCAGGGATTTCCCCTCATTTCCATCAACTGCGGGAATATTAACTAATCTGGTGTGTTGGTGTTGCCCCTGTCCATGTGAAACATTTATCGAACTTCATGAACTATCAACTATGTCTATAGCTAACAAACAAACATTAGCAACAGCTAAAAATCTAATTATAATTCTCACATCAATTCTCTGCGTGTGTCTAAAACTGCAACCGAGTCATATCAATTGTCATCCCGACACTAACTCGCCGTTGGGAAATATAACAATTAGTTCTAATCTTGCAATTCTACCCGACAAACTCTGTTTTGTATGGATCTCAACTCGAGATACAAATTTGAGAAAATTCAACCTTCCGAAATATCATCGCTACGGTATAGAACTACGGACCACCAAGTTTTCAAGTCATGCACTTATTTGCATTTTACTATCTGGCGATATTGCTACTAATCCTGGTCCTAACACTGCTCCTTCTACCGGCTTAAATGTTCTTTATCTGAATGCTCGAAGTATTAAAGCTTTCGTCCCCCTTGATGATGACCCTTCACGCAAAATTTGCAAAATGTCCATTCTACAGGAGTTGGTTTATAGTAATGACTATGATGTTGTCTCTATATGTGAAACATGGC